AGTATATGTTTTACATGAGGAACTGTATAATGGAGGTTAGCATTTCCATGGGGAGTGGAAAGTGAAGATATGTTGGCAGTAGGCATCTCTAGTCTAGAATGACAGGACTCCCAATGAAAGTTAAATATACCTTGAAAATGATAGCAGATTTTCTACCATTCCTTATACCTACATGCCACGATGCAATTAAACTCAACTTTAACATTCTATACTATACTATACTATACTAATACTAATACTAATACTATACTATACTATACCATTCTACACTATGCTATACTACTCTAAAAACAGTAGAATATGGTAGGAAGGGGAAATAGGGAGGCAGGAAAAGGAGGGGAGAATTCTTGTTCTCTGTAATTCATCAGCATCAACATCACTCGGATACTTGTCAGGTGTAACGATTGTTGGGCTGCACCCAAGGGTTACATTTTCAGGAAATTCTGGAGATGAGTCTCAGTAACGTGGATTTTTGATAAAATTCAAAATTAGAAAATGAAGAGTCTTAATTTATCTTCAGAATCTTGCTGTAGGTTTCAGTTAAGCTAAGGCCATTACATAGTTCTGAAGGTTAACTTAGATAATGCAGTTGTTCTCTAAGTTGTGCATTTATAGAAACTGATTTCATATGATCCTGAGGTGGAGAGGAATGGCACTTGGCATAGTGGTTAAGATAACACTTGGGGGTCCAGTGTAGTAGCCTAGTGGCTCAAGTTCTCACCTTGAACGCACTGGATCCCATAGGGGTACCAATTCTAATCCTGGCTGCTCCATTTCCCATCCAGCTCCCTGCTTGTGGCTGGGAAAGCAGTAGAGGATGGCCCAAAGCCTTGAAGCTCTGTGCCCCTTGGGAGATTCAGAGGAAGCTCCTGGCTTTAGATTGACGCAGCTACGGTGGTTGTGGCCACTTGGTGAGTAGACCAGCAGATGGAAGATCTTTCTCTTTGTCTCCCCTTGTCTCTGTATAACTTCCTTTCCAAAAAAAAAAATCTAAACAATAATAAAGATCCCAATTGTAATGCCCACATTCTGTGTTGGAGTGCCTTGGTTTGAAACCCTGTTCCATTTTCAGTTGCAGCTTCTTGCTCACGAAACCTGGGAGGCGGCACGTGATGGCTTAAGCAGAGTTCCTTACATGCATACAGGAGAGCTGGATTGAGGTTAGGCTCTTGGTTTCAGCTTGGCTCAGCTGTTGCATGTGCTTGGTGAGTGAACCAGCAGAGGAAAATCACTTTCAAATAAATGAAATAAAAAGTTAAAAAAAATCGGGAGGAATCACAGACATGAAGTTGGGGGTAACAGAATTCTCTGTTACAAAGTTAGAGAGAGCAGCTAACTGATTGAGGCTGAAATGTAATTTGTTCACAGGGCAGAGAACACCCAGAAGGCTGCAAAACCGAGTAGGAACAAAGACAATTAATCCTGTACTAGATGCACAGTCACAAAGCAATGGGCACTGAATGGCATACATCAGTTTGCTCGCAGAGTTCGCCGAATCCTTGCTGTTTGCACTGACAGACATGAATATCAACACGACTCTGTCCTACCCAGTTTCTTTCTTTTTTTTTTTTTTAAGATTTATTTTATTTTTATTGGAAAGGCGGATATACAGAGAGGAGAGACAGAGGGGAAGATCTTCTGTCCAATGTTTCACTTTCCAGGCGGCCACAACGGCTGGAGCTGAGCCAATCCGAAGCCAGGAGCCTCTTCCGGGTCTCCCACGTGGGTGCAGGTTCCCAAAGCTTTGGGCCGTCCTCGACTGCTTTCCCGGGCCACAGGCAGGGAGCAGGAAGGGAGCAGGAAGGGAAGCGGGGCTGCCGGGATAGAACCCGCGCCCGTATGGGATCCCGGGCGTGCAAGGCGAGGACCTTAACCACTGCGCCACCGCGCCAGGCCCTGTCCTACCCAGTTTCTTCACTTCCCTGCTTAGAGCGGAGGGCCCTGGATGCAATGTAGTTTTAGATAGCAAGTCCTGCTCTTAGAGGTGAGGGAGGTTTATATCATCCAAATTTGGGACTGGGATTCAGATATGAAGGGACAGGAAGTAAAACACACAAAACAACAACAAAGAGAACACAAAAGCCTCCCCTAAAAGAAAACTGAACAAGAAAGAAAAATCTATTGACAAAAACTTGTAAGTTATTTGCAATTTTTAGGAAAAGACCTAAAACATTAGACTTCCACCAAACAAAACCTTTTAAAACATTTTTGTGAATCTACAATCTCATTAAATACATTGCATAAAGAAGGCATTTTTCTGCCTGTAGTTTCCCTCAAATTTCAAGCAACACAGTGACTCACCTATCTGCCACCCTTCAAGATACCTGAAAACAATGCTGGGTCCTGTAATAACATTAGAAAATACAAACAAAGAAACCATTTTGTCAAGTTTGGAAATCCCCAAGAGGCCAAGAAACTAAGTGGCAACAGAACTTAGTAAATTCAGGTTTGGAAAATTTAACATAAATTTCCTTTAATGGCATAAAGTACTTAAAGCTCAATGCGAGAACATCAGCTGTGCTCTGGAACTCTTTTGAAACCAGATTTTCTGGGTCTTCACTTCCTTTCCACAAAGTAGTATGACTTGAACTGTTAAATAACTCAAGAAACTTTCAAGAATGATTAAGCTTCTTCCAACACTCCATTAGATAAGTGCTTCAGCTCTCAAATCTTCCTTATTTTGTAATATGTCCTTGGTCTTTTGTACAGTTGTCTTTGTTTTCTAGTTTAAATTATTACCACCAAAAACCAAATTACTTTAAAAACTATTCATTGGAAAATGGCAATTAAATACTAGGGTTCATAAATGCGAACCACAGTTGATACTGATTACTCTTCTCCTCCTATTTTCATTCCTATTTTCACTTGATCTTAGCCAACAAGCGGAACAGGAATGCCTCATTACTATTTTTAAAAATATTTTATTTTCATTAGACAGTCATATGTATGGAGAGGAGAAGATACAGAGAGAAAGATTTTCTGTCCGATGATTCACTCATTCCCCAAACGGCCCCAGTGGCCAGAGCTAAGCTGATCTGAAGCCAGGAGCCCAGTGTCTTTTCTGGGTCTCCCACCAGGGTGCAGGATCCCAAGGCTTTGGGCCGTCCTTGACTGCATTTCCAGGCCACAAGCAGGGAGCTGGATGGGAAGCAGGGACATGGAGCTTCCAGGACTACAACCCATGCCCATATGGGATCCCGGGCGTGCAAGGAGAGGACTTTAGCTGCTAGGCTAAGCTACACTACTGTGCCAGACTCTGGAGTTTTCATTACTATTTAGAAAGCCAACCTAAATACATTTGTAACTGCTTTGTTCATTGCCACCAATTGAAAATATGAATGTCTGACAGGTGGTTTGATACAGAATATAGTATAATCACACAATAGACTATTAGTCTACAAAAACAGGAAGTGAACCGTGTTGATCCTTGCACTAACATGAATTTCAAAAGCATTCAGTTCAGTGAAAAAAGTCAAATAGATAATGGTATACACTATTAGGCTACACTTGTATAAAGCTCTAAAGCAGACACATGCAAATCAGTGACAAAGAACAATGAGTGAAAGATGGGGACAGAAGAGATCCATATAGGAGCCAAATAAGTGGTGGCTACACAACTATGTAAATTTCACCCCAGTAATACTCCTAAAACCTGTGTATTTAATGCACAGAAAGTATATCCCAATTTATTTTAAAAATGGCTACTATGACTGTCGAGATACTCCATTTGTTGGTTCAATTTCCTAGATGGCTGAAATGGCCAGGGATGGGTCAAGATGAAGTCAGGAGCCAGGCACTTAATCCAGTTTATCCACATGGGTAGGAGGAATCCAAGCACTGGAGCTGTCACTTCCTGCCTTTGAAGAAGTACATTAACAGGCAGCTACATTGGAAATGGAGGTGTTGGAACTTGACGGATACGCTGATATGGGATTTGGGCATCCGAAGCTGTGCCTTTATTTATTTTTAAGATTCTCATTTTTTTTTAAGATTTATTTTTATTATTTTTTATTGGAAAGGCAGAGATACAGAGAGGAGAGACAGAGAGGAAGATCTTCCGTCCGATGATTCACTCCCCAAGTGAGCGCAACGGGCTGATACTATGCTGATCCGAAGCCAGGAGCCTCTTCCGGGTCTCCCACGCGGGTGCAGGTTCCCAAAGCTTTGGGCCGTCCTTGACTGCTTTCCCAGGCCACAGGCAGGGAGCTGGAAGGGAAGCGGGGCTGCCGGGATTAGAACCGGCGTCCACATGGGATCCTGGGCGTGCAAGGCGAGGACCTTTAACCACTTGCGCCACCGCGCCGGGCCCAAGACTCTCATTTTAAAAACACTTGTTCTCAACACATTCAATATAGTTCAGATACAATCCTAAGAATATAATTGTATTCTTGGGGCCAGTGTGATGGCTCCTCTGCCTGTAAGACCCAGCATTCCAAATGGGCTCTGATTCGAGTCCTGCTTGCTTTGCTTCCCATCAAGCTTCCTGCTTATGGCCTGGGAAAGCAGTGGAGGAGGGCCTAGTTACTTGGAACCCCATACCAGCATTGTAAGCCTGGAAGAAGGTCCTGACTCCATGCCTCAGATCTGGTCAGTTCTGACAGTTGCAGACATTTGGGTAGTGAACCAGTGGATGGAAAATTTTCCTGTCTGCCTTTGTCTGCTATTTTGCTTTTCCAATAAAATATATATATATATGTTTCAAACTAGAATATAATGATATTCTCAGGCTGTCTAACCACTGTAACAAATAGGTGCCTTTACTCTAATGAATCCCATACACATCCAATGAGTCACCCAGTGTTTCTGGAGTTTGGGGACATGGTGAATATTAAGAATCATAGATAAGACAGGATTTTCACAAAAATTAATTCTAAGTATGGATTCCTAAGCTAGTAAAACAAAATCTTTCATTATACAGGTGAACCATGTAAAAGAACTGATATCTAAAAAAAAAATCCACTGAAACTAGTACATATCAAAATATTTGTTTTATTTTTGTAAAATTAAAAATAGTAAACAAGCATATATAGTTATGCTTCCAAAGCAGAGATACAAATATATAAATTATTGCAATTTTCAAGAAAAACAGCCAAATAATGTCTAAACAAACTTAAAAAATATTTTTTTTTTTTACCATGGCAGTTTTACTTTGTTTTTCCAAATGTCTTAGCACAATGTGAAATAATTTTGTGATATCAAAGAGAAAATAAGTTAAATAAGCACAGCATATACTGCTCAGATTTAAAGTAAGATTCACATAGAAACAAGACAAAAGTTGGAATGGCATTTGTAACAGAAATCACCACTGAATACATTATTACTTGCCTCTTTTGGAGATAACAGGAAGGGGAAAAACCATGAATGCAGACATGAAGTAAGAAACAACCACTCCCTGCGCTGTAGGTACAGCTGAGGGAAATAACCAGCTTCTGGCGGAGGGGCACTAGTCATCTCCCTGACTTTTTTCCTGTTTCATCTTGTTGAGATTAAAGTTGTGAATCAATTTTGAATGACTAGATTGTGTTAATAATGTGGGCTCTTAAAAAAAAATACTGCTGGAAGTCTCTACTGCTAGCTAGGTGTTAAACACCTGATAAGGTATGGGGCGGTGAGCACATGGTTCATATCAAGGTAATCACAGGCTGAAGTTGCTTACTAGATTAGCCTGCACTGAAAAGTTAGCGTAACAACAGCAACAGTGAAAGGCTGAAAATAGTGAGCTCCAAGAAGAACTCTGAGATTGCAGACATAACATTTAAACCTTCCTGCTAGCTTTGCTTTTACCAGACACCTTGTTATCATGGCAAATAAACTCTTTTCTACCCCATCTACATAAAACTTGGCAAGAAAAATTTGTTGAAGTTGTTATCTTTTACTGGTTTTCATCTCATTCTTCTTCACATACTTAACTGCCATTAACCTAAAGTTGAAAATGCAATCAAATGCTTAAATGAAATTATCTTTGCTTTACATCCATATTAACACAGGTATTTAAAGATTTTTAGCATGTTAAACTTTTGAGGTACTTAAAAATACTCAAATATTTTACTTTACATTATAAGCAATAACATTGTCAGTTAATGGAACTGACATTAAGTCTGAAAAAATAACACGAAAGAACTTTGCAATATATATACTATTTAAGTTTCCATGAACATGTGGTCACTAACCTGAACCACCTAAAAAGCTACATAAATAATTTATTATTCAAAATTCCTACATAAGTATAGAGCATATATATTTTGCATTACATTTTGCAACAGTAACAATGAAAGCAAATTTCTTCCAAAATAAAACCCAAACTGGTAAACAAGACAGAACAGATCCAAAAAGCTATTTAAAAAACTAGCAAAAATTAACTGGCAAATCCCAACAGTGTAAACACCTAGATAAAAAAAATGAACGACAACAAAAAAGTGAAAGCATTTTAAACCATTTTCAGTAGCAAAGGAAATGGAAAAATGAAATCCTAAGAAATGCCAAGGCATATTTAAGATGACAATATATTTTAAATATACTTCTGAATTCACTTTCCAACATAAACTTGACATTTAAAAAAATAATCCTTAAATGTATTATAAAAATGGGCACTTCTTGGTAAAAATAACACATATTTTTGAAAAATGAAGAGTATCTCTCTGTTCCAACATTTTGTACACAAGAAACGAAAGAGAACAAAACCCTATCCTGCTGCCTGAATCATCATTCTTGGCTTCCCAGTGCACACTTTTTTGAGATGAATTTAGATACAACATTAGAATCAAAGGATAAGATGATAACCTCAAGGTAAACATAACTGATTTTTAGTGGAATTATAAGGCTGAGCAGATTTAAACACTAATCTTTCATAATGGTCAAAAACACTTCTGATTCCTTTTTAAACTCCATTTTTCTAATTATGAAATATATTGAGTAAAAATTTTCTTAGTTGTATAAACTCTGAAAATATTAGAAATGTTTGAATCATACACGAGATTCTCTTCTAAATTGCCTCAGAAAGTACTAACAGCTGTATGGAAAAACAGCCAAGTATAGAAAGAAGTATTTGTGATATATCATGTTCCTCAAAGTTGGAACTCAACTCTATACCTGATCCTTATTTTGCATAAAGAATAATTGCATATTCAATTAAGAAAATTAACATAGGAATATGTTTATGAAATATTTGGATAAAGTGCTGTGCAAAACACTTGAAGAAATTTTTCTTTTTTCCTAGAAATTCATCTGAATAAGTACTAGTGTGAGTACCAGCACCACACATAGTTTTCAGGAGCACCTTTCCTTTGAAAAGCATAAGTAGAAATACTTATATGGAACAAATCAGTCACTAGTTAAGACCTAAGTACATGCACAATCCCACTCATTTCTTCCAAACTCATTAGAAAAGCTATATATTTGCCAGAAAACTCTTTGAAAGATAAGCAAACACTGTCTTTGGATAACACTGTTGTAATTTAGGCCTATACCATATGGCTCATATTCTGGAAATGTGTTACTACTGATATCAAATGCAAGAGATCTCAAACTTTTATGTCTGTCTCTAAGTCATCTAAACAGAAGATCCAAGGTATTTAAGCATACTGGCTGGTAACATTCTTCATGACTCACGTCAGAAAGAGTCAAGTCAAATATGAAAATATAATCCTAACAAGTAAGTATTGAGATACTTACTAGTACACTCTGGAAATATCTTTATTCAACTTGTTTATTTGAAAATTTCCATATTGTACACATCTCATTTAAAGCTTAACAAAACTGAGACATTTAATCCAATTCTACTCCTCAGATTTTAAATTCATTTTGGGTGACTGAAAGAATTTGGAGAAGTGAAAAGCATCTTTTCAAAGTTCTTTCCAAAAGGCTTGACAGTTAAGTCATAATCCCAGGAAAAACAAAATAAAATCAGTAGGATATCAGTTAATATTCTCAGCTCAACATAATGTATCTTGGTCTTACAACAAACAGCCTCTGACTAGATGGGAAGCATTTCTTAGTCAAATACTATTTGTGTTCAATCCAAATCCGACCGCAGCCAGTGTAGGTTGCCAAACTGAAGACAGAAGTCATTCTGTCTTTATGTGTGAAGCTGCCAGGTTTAATGGCCTTTCTGTGGATTATTTTAGGCCAAGGATCTACCTCCTACCTACGTTCCAAGCACCAGCTGAAAACAGAATTTAGAGCACATTTGAATTTTTACATTGGTTATACTTATATCAAAATATAACTAGCTGCTTATGATGATCTGTTAAGAACTCTTTGCAAACATCATAGGCATCATATTTTTTCAATGTGGGCTTTTAAAGCAATCTCCTTTGGATCCTGAAATTTAGAAAACTACCTTAAAATCTTAAAATGTTTTCTTTGAATAATAATTTCAACAGTGCTGATAACAAAATCTAAGACAGTTTTGGATTCTTGAATCTTCACCTGAAATGGTACAGAGATTTTAATGTTTCTCAAAATGGGACAATTCTGCAGCACTTTCAACATGAAGACAGGTACTAAATAAGATTTGGAAGTGGGACTTGGTTACTGTCCAAAGTCTAAAAGGTCAAAGTCAGTAGAAGGAAAGTGACAAAAAGCACAAATTTCCACTTCTACAGAGATAAATGGACACACATGAACTAGATGTGCATTTTCTTCCGCACTAACTCAGAACTGCTTTTCTTAGGAAACAACAGTGTAGTTTAATCTTCATGATAACTGCTTTAAAAAACATTAATTTTGCTTTCACAAATTATTAGAAGCTGAAGTAATTCAACTAGACAGGATTCTACTCCAAAATGCATTTTTCTTTGGAAAGCAAGAAAACAGTTGTAAAAACATTATATTAAGGAGAATAAAATGAGTGATCTAAAATAAGAGCAAACATATTCACACATGTGTATGAATATGCAGCTATTCAAATACATATTTATAAAGAGGATACCTAAATAGCATTTTATATATAAATTTTTTATATTAAAATATTGCTCATAATAAATAAGAGGTGATATTATGAAATCCATTTCCTTCTTAAAAATGATCTTTAGTAGTTCAGAATTAGTTTACTGTTTTGGCAGGTGAATTACATTAAAATATGGGTAGTAAAATCACACTAACAGTGTATTTAAGTAGTCACATGTGGTAACAGATGGGAAAGGATATTTAGCAATTTTAGGAAAGATTCTCAAAATGAAGTTAAATGATTAACCCTAAAAGACTAGACATAATGGTGATCTGCTTTATTGGAAAATGATGTTAAGTAATGCCTGTGTTTTGCAAATGTAATGACCACAAGAAAAAAATGGGCCCTACTTTCTTCAAACTTTTCAAAGCTTGCATGCCTGGCAGACCAACGCTGGTGGAGAAAAGGAAGTCAGGTGTGCTGCTGTCCTCAGTTGTTTATCGGTAGGTGTGACTTCATTCCTGCTCGTCCCACCTGCAGACATGGTAATTTGGAACAGTTCTTGAGAAGCTGTTCAATGGCAACGTGGCGGACGTGGAGCTCTGAGGCCAACGAGTCTTTTTCTTGCACTTGATGTGTTAGTTCTTCAAAAACTTCTGTACAGATTTAAAAGTAGTTTCATTTTTAGTGCATAGAAAGGTAATATTAATGTTTATATATTTCCAGTACTTACTGAGCCTGTTTTCACAATGAAGCTGCGCCAGGCAGACACTGTGCTCTCTAAAGCCTAGCAGCTTGATCGTCCTACTGGCAGTGGTATACTGCATCCTTCTGCAGCAAGTGAAACTTAAAAAAGTTCCTAAGCCATGACTATACAGATGCATAGTACATACTGTGGTTATTACTGCAGCTAAGTCATTTCTCAACTAAAATCTATAATTAGGACTCAGTGCAATGGCACAATTGACTAATACTCCTCTTGCAAGCGCCACAATCCCACATGGGTGTCAGCTTGTGTCCCACTGCTCCACTTCCCATCCAGCTCCCTGCCTGTGGCCTGTGAAAGCAGCAGAGGATGGTCCAAAGCCTTAGGACGCAGAACCCATGTGGGAGACATGGAAGAGGCACCTGGCTCCTGGCTTTGAATTGGCTCAGCTTTGGCCATTGTGGCCACTTTTGGGGAGTGAACCATAGCTTGGAAGATCTTTTTCTTTGCTTCTCTTCTCTGTAAATCTGCCTTTCCAATCAAAATAAAATAGATCTTTAAAAGGAAAAAAAAAGCAATAACTAGATTCGATCAATTTTTTTGTATGACTTATGGCTAGGAAGTATCCATCAGTATTCAGGTCTACAAACTTAACAGGCCTTTAGGTTAGATTATCTGGATTTTTGGATTCTTACTTTTGCTTGTTAGCATCTCAGGCAATTAGTTCTTATCATGTGAGAAACTGTATGGTCAAGAAACACTACTAGCTTTGTAGCTAAAAGGTAGGGATTAGAATTCTTAATCTTCTCCTGACTGAATGCATGATCTCTGTAAGAAGGTAACACTGCTGAAGTGCAATTTCCTCATATAAGTGGGAATAAACTGTAAAGAAAAGGAATCTGGAGAATTTAAACACTGTTAATGTCAGCATCATATTTGATGATGTAAACAGATTAACTTATTTTGGGGATAATAACAAGGTTGTGATTGTTTTATCAATTAATTATCCATTAGAGAAAACTTTGAAGGTTTTTGGGTAGAATAACATGTTTTCAGGGATTGTTTCAAAAATAATCCATGATGGCTGTGGGCAGGATAAGAAGAATGAGTAGAAGGCAAGAAAAATCGGCTCTGTTGGGTTAAGGTATCACTGGGCTCTCTGTATCCCATATCAGAATGCTGGTTTGAGTTCTAGCCACTTCTCTTTCAATCCAGATTTCTGCTAATGCACACTTGGGCGAGGGCAATAGATGATGGCTCAGGTGCTTCTGTCTCTGCTGCCCACACAGGAGACCTGGATGAAAGTATACGCTCCTGGCCTCCGTTTGGCCCATTGCTGCTGTTACAGGTGTTTGGGGAATGAACCAGAACACAGGAGACAGACTTCTCTCTGTTGTTTCTGCCAACAATAATATGGAAGAACAATCTCTCTCCATTGTTTTGTCGTTCAAGAGGAAAATGAATCAACACTAAAAACAAGCCAACAAAACAAAACAAAAACCCAGGGCATTAAAGAAATTAGCTATGTTTTCAATAACCATTAAAACTGGCAAAGAAGGGTCAAGGGTCCATGAATTAGTTGGATTACCTTACTATGTGTTTGAGCTAAATTCATAATTTTTTTTTTTTTAGAAGTCAAACAGGGCTAATACGATCTGCTTTAAAGAACTCTTAAGAAACATACCAGTACATTCCTGGTGCAAAAGCATACAATCAATGAAATGTTAGTAAGAGATAGACATTAATCTAGTTTAAAAAAAATTTTTTTACTTATTTCAAAATCAGAGTCACTGACAGAGAGAGAGAATCTTCCATAAACTGATTCACTCCCCAAAGAGCTAGGCTGATGAAACTAACAGGAGCATCTTCTGGGTCTTTCATGTGGGTGCAGATATGGAGAGCAGAGCCGTGCCTCAAAGATGGCGCTTGTTGATCATTGCTTCGTGGCACAAAGGTGGTAAACAGGTTTCGGGAAGTTACTGAGGATTGGGTTGAGCATGCAGGGAAGCTACATTATCTAAGTCACGATTGGTGTGCTTGCCACATGCTGTGAGGAGCTGTGTATGGATTGGTTTGTGTAATGCAAAAAAAGCAGTGGGTAAAAAATAGTTAAAAAGGAGATTCCCCCGGCAAGCTCCAAGGCTATGTTGTAACTGCTTTCACTGCGATAAATTTTACAACTGTTGTAACTGCTTTCGCTTTACCGCTAGCTTGAAGTCTGCCGCAATAAACTTTTCAAAGAGTCTATACCGTGTCGGAGTCTTGCTTGCGGGACAAGGGACCCTGACATGGAGGGACAGCTTCCACTGCTTCTCTGGGAGCATTAACAGAGAGCTGGTTCAGAAGTGGAGCAGCTAAAACAAGGAACCTGTGTAGGATGCCAGAATTGCAGCCAGTGGCTTAACCCTTTACGTCACAATGCTGCTCCAATCATGGTCAGTTTTAACTCAGGAAAGAAAAATAGACTTACTCTGCAGTTTACAAAGAAGTTTTTTTTTTGTCCCCTTTTTCTTGCTCTGGAAATTCTAGCAAACTACAAATATCCCAATTTGAAACTGAAATGGCACTGATGCTTTAAGGATATGCTGTCATAGAGGTTTTGGGTATCAAAATGTTTCTATGTAAGAAAACATTGAGATTGATTTTTTTTTTACCTTGGATTTGCTGTTGGAGCTTTACAGTCAGTTGTTCCACTTCATCAAGGGTCATCAAATTCACTGAAACACACAAGTGTACACACTTAACACAACAACCTGGGGAAATAAGCTGGCTACATCACTAACACAAAGTCCTATTAAAACCCTTTTTGACTTATTAGGAGACAACATTCAGAAGTACCCTAGGATTAACCAAATAAAGTTTTCTTTTCCAAAGTTGTTTTTAAATCTGGATCACAACCCACAGTTGGAAATGGGGCTTTCCAACTTTACTGGTGTACCACCACTTTCCACTTGAAACAAAATTTTATCCAAAAATTATACGGTAGCGGGTCTGCTGGTTTCTGATTATCTCCTATTCTGTCCTGCTTTAGAGAAGTTCAAGTCACTACATGAAACAGATTTTGATTAAGTATTACATAATACATGGCCTACAGTCTGAGAAGTACATGACCTGCAGTCTATGAAAAACATGAAAAATCAACCTTTCTTTCTAAAACTATCTCAGTTTCATAAGTTTTTGTACAAACTGTCACAGACAGAATAAGTCTTTGTCTTCAGTATGCAAATTACCCTTAGCCTATAGGAAACCAAAGATTTTTGCTTTTGAAATGTAACTTGAGTCAACTGGTCTTCCAGGAATATGCAAATTTGCAATATGACAGTATATATTAGCCATTCAATAATTGAGGCTGCAATTCTAAACTGGAAACTTCAATTCACAGCTTGCTGATTCTAGTCAGCAATAATTTATGATGGCCAAACAAGAGGAGTGCAGAACTTCAACGCTTAGGACATATTCCAAGAGAATGGATGGAGGATTTTAAGGCATCTCATGTTTGCCAAGGTGAACTTATCTTTTAGTTACTATGATTCCTAGATCTCTATCAAAATTCTTGACACATCACACACATAATGAAATAGCAATAACAACAAATCCCAATACTGAAACCACTCAATGTTTCCCTTTCCTCTCATTTTACTTACATTCCTCTCTGCTGTAATGTAGATGCTGAGACTGGACACTGGCCTCTGGACTGGAGATGGTTTCTTCTTTCTTCTGTGCCTGGTTGTGACCATGAGGCCACAATACATTGTTATGGCAGATAGCAGCACCTGCACCTTGTAACACAGCCAGCCCAAAGGCTGAATGGTCCCTCTGATCCAAAATCCGCTGAGTACAGTTTGAGATGCCACCTGTACTTCCATTTATCCATTTTGCAGAATACTTTGGTACTTGGGAGTCAAACTGTGGGAGGAACTTTTTATCTGGCTTATGTCTGAAATTGAACAGATGATGTTGGGGGGTTTTAGAACACTCTGAATCTGAACCCAGATCCTTATTCTGTGCATACTGAACAATCCGGTTTATCTTCTTACTGAAAATAGTTTTAACTTCTTCATAAGTACTTTTTGAAAGCTTAGATCGAGGACAATCCTGGTTTGCAATTAAATGGTATTTTTCAAAGCAGTCTTTATGGCCCCTTAATGATTTGGTGTGTAAAAGATTAGATTTTGGTACTCCTAAGGGTAAAAGAAAAAAGAAACAAAAGATGAAAAAATATTAGGCTTTCATATGTCACTTTCAGAATTTATTAATCAGTAATATTAATGGAAAATATTAAAGAATATTGGCATAAAAACACGATGAATTGATTTGTTTAAATTTAGCTACTCACTGAACAATACTAAATTCTTGTGGATAAGAAAACCTTTCTAAAAACTTAGTGATTCAATTTTAACCTTAATTCATAGGCATATTGTTATATACAATTTACAAAAACACTACCAAGTCCAGCAATTTATCTTTATAGACTTCTGGCCTTTATTTAAAAAGTGCTTTCTCCACTAATGCTCCTAAAGTGCATACTTACAAAAATTTCCAAAAAAATTTCAGTAACTCATGTTCTTGAATGTTATGTTTTTACTTGGAAAATATAACAACCAGAAAATTATACATTTGTAAAAGTCTTGAGAAATCAGAGGACAATTTAGATAAATTTTACAAAAAGGAAAGTTATTAGTTTTCACATTTCTACTTTGAATTTTTTTTAAAGATTTATTTATTGGAAAGTCAGATATACAGAGAGGAGAGACAGAGAGGAAGATCTTCCATCCGATGACTCACTCCCCAAGTGAGTGCAACGGCCAATGCTATGCTGATCCGAAGCCAGGATCCAGGAACTCCTTCCGGGTATCCCACATGGGTGCAGAGTCTAAAGGCTTTGGGCCGTCCCTGACTGCTTTCCCAGGCCACAAGCAGGGAGCTGGATGGGAAGTAGAGCTGCTGGGCCACGCCGCCGGGCCCATAAATATATTTCTACTTTACAAACACTAAAATTTGATCAACATAGTTGTTTTTTCGTAATAAATTTATTACCTATTATTTTTCAAACAGAAACAAATACAATCTGCCAAACAGCTAAGCTAATACATCAACTCCAAAGTACTTTGAAAATGTACCAAATTAGACTTTGTATCTCCCAACTCCTAAAAGAGTTTATGTGATCATAACCATTTTTTAAAATGTAGAATACATTTTCAAATATATAACACATTTCAAAACATAAAATACATTCACATTTTCATAAATTTAAGTCATTTTATTAAAACTGAACACTAAGCAATGCTTTCATACCAAAGGTGATTCGGGAATTTCTAGCTGAAATGGAATGTCTGCCATAACAAATCAGTCTAAATCTATGGTTTTGAAAAAGGAGTGAGCAGGAAGCCACATAAAAAAAAATCATCCTTGTTATTTACCCTTTGACTTAAAATTTTAAAGTAACTCAAAATTGGGTAAAAGCAAGACAACAAAATACATCCACCTTAACGCAATTAGTAAAGCTGCTTGAAATTTTGTTCTGAAGAGATAAAACCATCAGCCTTTGGTGAGACTTGCTAAGACTGCTGATTCTCGATTAGTTTCCTCACAAGTTTCCAAGCACATCTCCCGAATACTAGAAGTATCATGAGCATATGTGAAGCGCAGGTGAACAGCTGCTCTTACAAGGTAATCTCAAGATTTGAGGTTTTTCACGGAGAATAAAAATTGTTCAAAAAAATTTAAAGCAATTTCTTACACATTTACCAGTTTTCTACCTGTACCTCATGAATGTGAAAAAAGGCACCATGTGCAAGAAGAGTTCTGAACATACACAAAGTACAGCACTTTCCTGGGAATTACTTGCATGCTTCTCAAACTCGACCTGACTATGGAAACTTCCTTCATCCTCACCACTCAGACCCCAAAGCTGATCATCTTATGGACTCTAGCAATACCAGTTGCCCAAAGAAGAAACCTTGGTGCTTTCTTGAGAGCTTCTACTCCCCCTGTAATTCCAGATGTTTTGCAGTTCATTTTGACAGATGCTTCTGCATACACTCTGGCACCTACAACATCTTAAATCTTTCTGCTTCAAACCATTATCACTTCCACCACACACATAGGTAATCATCAACCATGCCTGTCAACCTGCCTCACGGCTCTAAGGATGCTTTCCAATCAACACAGCTGGATTCGACAGATTCCATACAGATTCCACAACTGCCTCTCGTCTGGTCTTTTACCTTCTACTAGACATTCTGTTAAAAATGCAGATCTCTTATTCACAACCATTCTTGGTGCTTCAGTGCCTGATACTCAGGAAAAAGTTGTTAAATGAATAAAGGAAAACTAAGATCACATCTACAAAGTCAAAGTCAAATCTTAGTACCAACTGTCAGCCAAGGTCTGCTAGGCTGCCGTTCTGACCATCTTAGCAAGGGACCAGAATGTGCAGTTATGCCAGAATGCTCAAAGAATAATTAAAGGTGACTATACTATCTTTCAAGAAAAATAATCAACTTCTACTCAACTATACAATTTTGAAGTAGAAACATACACATTGTAAATATAAAAGGAGGCTTTTATTTCAAGTATAAGCTCACGTATCCTGATCTATAATGTTTTCACCTAAATCTTACACTAAAATTTTAAGACTTGATGTCATTTTAATTAAATTTCAAAGTATTTGTTCCATAAACATACTTTAAAATATCTCATGTGGTAGACAAAACAAAAAAAGCTGAATACACTATTTCACTTGAAAAACTTTTACTTTGACACATTTAAGGAATATGGAGTGTTTTCTGATACAAGCATACAATGCTGAATGATCAAACGAATGTAATAAGTATATCTACCATCTCAAATTTTATCATTTCTTTGAGAAAATTCAAAAGTCCCATCTTTACACTTTGAAACAGACATTATAAACTGTAGTCACTCCAGAGTAATAGAGAATACCAGAACTTAATACTCCAATAATTTACTTTTAGTCCAGAAAAGACATAGTCTATTTGCACCAGCAACATATGTATGTTTATTTTATAAACTGTGAAGGGATTTTCTTGCCACCTCATCCTCTCAATTTAAAATGGAAGAAAACAACCAATGCTTTATCAATAAGCTGACTTCCATTTTAACTGCATTTACAAATGCAAACACCTGGTCCTGGAGACGTGGTCTAGCGGCTAAAGTCCTCGCCTTGAATGCACCCGGGATGTCATATCTAGGCATCGGTTCTAATCCCGGCAGCTCCACTTCCCATCCAGCTCCCTGCTTGTGGCCTGGGAAAGCAGTCAGGGACGGCCCAAAGCCTTGGGACCCTGCACCCATGTGGGATACCCGGAAGAAGTTCCTGGATCCTGGCTTCGGATCAGCATAGCATTGGCTGTTGCACTCACTTGGGGAGTGAATCATCAGATGGAAGATCTTCCTCTTTGTCTCTCCTCCTCTCTGTATATCTGATTTTCCAATAAATAAATAAATCTTAAGAACAAAAACAAAAACAAATGCAAACATCTCCAAACTCTACTTTGTTTTTGAAGCAGCTTTTGAAATGCGATGAACCTAAATGCAAGTAAATTAGTGACACTTTTGAAGGGTAGAGTAATAACGAATTTCTAAACCAGTCTAAAAAATTTCCCTACAATTTTCTTGCTAATAAAATTTTAAAAGCCAATGCAACTGAAATTGCAAATGTTTAATGTACTTCTTTAAAATAAGCCTCAAAGTTGTCTACGTACTTCTCTCATGAAGTCATTATTAATAAAGAAATAATACATTAATTGGGAATCATATTGACTAATTTTTAAAGTAATAACCCCTCTTCTAGATAAGGGCTATTTACAAATTTATACTTTTTATTTTTTTAATCAACAGTGACTATTAAGAAATTAGCTGTTCCTACCCAATAATTTTTTATTGTTTTCCTACTTTTATTCTTGATTTCAATATATGTTATATTGTATAATTATATAATAACATATTATATAATATATACAAATTTTATATAATATACACAATTTTATATGTTTTGGAAACCCTCCCACTAATCCATCTGGCTAAAATGCCACTTCTATTTTTAAGCTCCCTCTTTAAGATCAATTTGCTTTATGAAAATGTGGTTAAAGCTACTCAAATGGAGATGTTTATGTCTAGCTACAGCAAAACCCTTTTAAAATAACGAAGTATTTCCAAGATCACATATATAATTTGCCTCACATGATGTCATCACTTTTTTCTGCTAATAATCCAAAATGGCATTTAAAATCCACAGCAATCTACCACACCTCCCATTAGCGTTGCTTTTATTTCTAGCCCCTTGAAGAAGACTATGAGTTGGTGGTAATGAGCAATCTTCTTCCTGATGATTTACCAGCTGGTCCCGTCAAACACCAACATCTCTCAGTTACTACACAGAGACTGCACAGCTATACTTCACACATTCTTGAATCATATCATCTGATTGCCTTATGCATGCTCAGTACTTGTCAATTAGACTTTATTTTGAAATTGCTTACATATTCTACCTTCCAATGAAAAGAAAGGCTCTTCCTAGAAGATGACAGTCATGTGATGTTTCATAGGCTAAACAAATACACTGCAGTGGTTGTAGGTAAGTCAAGTCACAGCACACCTATATCACATCAGTTTAAGCCTTGAAAGCACTAAGAGTGTGGACTTCAACTTTTATCTCAGACTGGAATTACATAACTGACAGCATGGGTTTTTCAAGTGCTATATTCGTGTATTCTTTCTTAATGTTTAAATAAGGCAAGAAAATTTTGCTATGATTTCAGTTTCAGATTTTTAAGTTGTAGTGAAAGAAAAATTTAAGCATACTGCCATCAAAAATGACAGACATTTATGCAGCATTTCATGCAGTATTGCTTTAGAATTTTTATGGAAGTTCACATTTTTCCCAGCTTAAATAATTTTCCAAGACTGAAGGGGCTTTTCCTTTTGTAATAATCTGTGTTGTGCTGTAGTAATTTTATACATTTAAACCAAGTGTTAATTGTTAACGATGCAAGGATAAGCCAAATTTTGTCTTACTAAGAAAGCCTGAAAGAAATAAAATGTTACTTCTTTGTTTTTAGATAATAATCATTTCTGATAACAGATGCAGAGAAAAGGCTCTGTAAGTTTAGGGTACACACACATAGCCCAAAATTCTGCAAGCATGTTGTAGACAAGC